TGCTCAGGCACTGGAATGTGCTGCCCAGGGAGGTGGTGGATTCACCATCCCTGGAGGTTTTGAAGCTGAGACTGGATGTGGCACTTAGTGCCATGGTCTAGTGACCACGGTAGGGTTGGACTCTATGATCTTTGAGGTCTTTTCCAGCCTGGTTGATTCTATGATTCTATGATATTCTAGACACTCATTTTTTAATGAAATCAGCAGATGTAAACACACTGAGAATCAAAAGGCACCAATTTTTTGCATTACATACCTAAATATGACTCATGTATGACACAGCAGGTAAGAATCTTCATAATCCAGGGCAATCTACTTTCAGGATTTCATTGGTTGAAATTCCTCACAGTATGGGAGCATCTGAGCTATCCCATAATACTTTGGCTAAAGGGTTACTCCTAGCCTGTGCAAGCTCAGAGGAAAAATATGAAGCCTCTCTACTCTCTCACACCACGTGGCAGCAAAAGAGGAACAGCTAAACCACAAAAGTCTGTTGAAAGCAGTAAGTTTATGAGCTTCTCATGGTCATCCAGGCCATGTACCTCCCTCCTGTGCAAAGAGACAGACCAGGAGTGTGTGAGGAGATGTGGGTGAAGACCAGAAATGTTTACAGCTCTGTTTCTGTCCCTGGAAGTACCAAGGTACACAAGTGTCGGAGGGTCATGGCTGATACTGTGGCTCAGAGGTGAGAACAGAACCTACAGCACTGCCTTTTCCTGTGTGGGATGTGATTTCTGTCTTGTCAAACAAACTTCTTGCTTGATATTCTAGATGAAAGTAATGTCCTTGGACTCCTTCCCTTTACACACAACTGGCTGTGTGACCTGCAAGGCGTAACCCGCTTCTGTGTAACTTTAACCATCTTGAATACTTTGTGATACAAGTGAGATTCAGGTTAAGTTAACAGGAATCATCTTAGTGTTTGATTCCGTTTGCCAAGACCCTAAGCTAACTCTTTGTCTTGAGTTTCAAAGTGCTTTCATGCCCTGCAAGTGGCTGCATGTGAGCAGAGGGAGCAAGGCAGACTGAGGAGCAGTGGGAGGGAATGTGGTAACGGGAG